AAACCCAGTAAGCTTCAGGATTTATTAGAATACCTATCAGAGTTGATATCAGAGTTGCTAACCCATTTACATTACTTGATTTGTGCAGTAACAATTTGGACTCAATATATGCTGACTTTCATACCACCATGAAAAGCTGGTTGGATACACAAAAATATGTAAGACCACCAAAAGAACCTACATTGCTGATGGGAGTGTCTGCACTGGAGAACTGAACAATGGAAGAAGGTGGCTTGATCTGATGAATCAGGTTTTCCTTTGTATCATGCCTAAGGTCGGGTGGGTCAATACACTCCTAGGAACATGTGTCAGCAAGATGCACAAGAGGAAGAAGACAAACTGCTGAAGGCAATGTGATGTTTTGTTTGATGCTTTGACATCCCTGGCCCACTCGAGGTCAGGGATGAGTTCCTGCCCCAAGTGGAGGGGTTTAAGTATCTCGGGGTCTTGTTCATGAGTGACGGGAGAAGGGAGCGGGAGATTGATAGACGGATTGGTGTGGCAGCCGCAGTGATGCGGACTTTGTACCGGTCTGTTGTGGTGAAGAGAGAGCTGAGTGTAAAAGCAAAGCTCTCAAATTACCGGTCGATCTATGTCCCTACCCTCCCCTATGATCAAAAGATGTGGGTAGTGCCTGAAAGAACGAGATCGCGGACACAAGCGGCGGAAATGGGCTTCCTCCAAAGGGTGGCTGGCCTTTCCCTTAGAGATAGGGTGAGAAGTTCGGCCATTCGGGAGGGGCTCAGAGTAGAGCCACTGCTCCTCCACGTCGAAAGGAGCCAGTTGAGGCGGCATCTGACAAGGATGCCTCCTGGGCAGTAGCGGTTTTTGATACGGGAGACACGGGCAGTTGCCCGGGGTGGCATCGTGGTGGGGGGTGGCATCACGGGCATCAGCAAAACAAAAAAAAAATAAAAATTGCTCGTACTCATGCTGCCCCGACATCAACCAGCGCATATTGGGAATGGTACAGGCACCGATCAGTTTTCTATCATACGTTTGCTGGGGCGCCCTCCGTTTGCGAGCTGCACCTGCTGCTTGCGGCACAGGGAGGAGAGGGTGGGGCTGCGGGGGATTCTCTGGCTGGCTGGAGCAGCATCTAATAACCATCTCGCAAAATAAAACAAAATAAAAACAAAACAACAAACACGAAAACACCAGACATTATGATACAGACTTATAATTTGCACCGATGTTTTTTTGAAATTATTATACGCGAAAGTGTGCGCGAGAGCCCTCGGTGCGCCTGCTTGCTGCTGAAGTCAAAGTAAACTTTATTGTCATCTCCGCTACATACAGTCCAGTATATAGAGAGACGAGACGACGAGGCTCCAGTTACAGCAGTGCAAACAATAAATATAAGAACAGTAAGAAAATAAATATACGCTTTAGGACTCGGGGTAAAGGGATCAATAACAATTTAAAATTTATAATTTACAGTTTGATGATTTAAAGTCTCATACACAACCCGTCGAAAGGGGAGGGGGGCTGCTGCTTCCAAATAGAGCACATTTCATTCATAATGTTGTAAATTATGTATTCATGATTTGAATCCTGGGTTGTGTGAAATCCTAGAAATAAACCCTAGACAAAGTGAATATGTGAACTAAGGTGTAGGTCTATTAGGTTATGTTGTGGTGATCCTCGGGTTGGGGAATGGGTGTTCATAATGGAGTTCAAAATTAAAACCAATGGAAGATGGACAAGAAAAGTTCAAAGCCATCAGGTGCTCAGTTTAGAAAAAAGAGGAAAAGAAGAGGAGAAACGAGCAAAAGATAGAGGTAAGCAAATATGTCACTGGATAATGGCAGGTCATGTATCCTGAAACAATCAGAATCAGAATACTTTATTAATCCCTAAGGAAATTATGTGGGTTACAGTTGCTCCAAAAAGAAATGGTAAAAATAGTAACAGTAACAGACTAAACTCCAAACAATATATTATGTTACAGATTTTAATATTAATTAGTCATTGTCAATTGTTGATTTGTCCTGTTCTCATTGTATGACGAATTATGATGGCTGTTTGGTAGCTGTTTGCATACGGTGCATACTCTCTCTCTCTCTTCATGTGTGTGTGTGTGTGTGTGTGTTTCTCTGGTGAATTTCGACAGCAGTTTTATGTTAATGTACAATCGTTAATATGTTTTATGTGTGTGTGGGGGGGTGGGGTGGGGGCGCGCCAGAGGGAGTGTTAGCCCGAGGTGCCAAACAGGCTAGGACCACCACTGCTCCTGGGTGAGGTGTTCAGGGCATGTCCCACCGTTAAATATACTACGTCAGATGCTTCATAGACCTTTCATTTTTAATTTCACCTAAATTAACAGAGGAGATCCTGTTCTCTTCAGCATCATTAGCTGTGTCCAAATAAAACACAAAAAACCTCTTAAACTCATCCAGTTTAAGAAGAAGAGTATTTTTTACGGAGAAGTTCTGAGCAATTATGAAATTATGAACGTATGAACTGAATGGCTTTAATAATTAGGCTTGACAGAAGAATGAAGCTATTACCTGCAGGCTACTGTGTCCAGTATGTCTATAACAATCAAAGCTTTGATTGTTCAACCAGCCTCGCAGGATCATTCAAGAAGATGAAACTGTAGAACACGCATCTCAGATTACTGGTTAGTGTAATTACCCGCATAGCATTCTTGTTAGTTGCAATGTATGTCATTTAATTAAAATTAAAATACGGCCATCGAAAACGAACTACACTATTGATAGATCGAGTTCCAAAATTCAAAGCTGCATTCACACCTTTCAACAAAAAAACACAAGAAAAAAATAATAATTTCTTGCAGACCAAAATAGGCAAGCATAAATACTCATGAATGTTAAAATGCATACTGTCGGGAATTGGCTACTGGGTTTCCAGGGAAACACTGATAAGTTGTGTTAGCAATCAGTCTCTTTACGTCCTCTTATTAATCATGAATTTGAATGAATTTTTCGACCTTTTTTTCTGCAAAATTGAATTATTAATCTCGAAATATCGACTTTATTCTCAAAATGATCGACACTATATTTTTTTTCTTAATGTGGCCCTAATACTCCATCGTACTTCCGGAAATTTTTGGATAACGACCAACTCACATGTCACATGGAGGCGGTGTCCGGCCAGCTGCAGGATGCACTGAGGGAATAAAAAGAGGGAGGCTGAGGCTAGCTGCATCTGACAACAGGCTGAAAGGACGCACAGGTGCATCAAAGGTAAGACACTGCAGCTTAGGTGAGCTGGACAGAAGGAAGAATTAGGCTACAGTCTGAAAAATGCATGTATTGCATTCTTTTCTCTACTAACATCAGACTGTAGCATTTTAAATTTTAGCAATTTAACTTTCAAAGTTTATATATAGGTAAATTTGTCATTCCATATAGTAGCCTGTGATTGATTGATTCATGTTTGTGTTGCAAGAGCTACATTTTCGTTTTGATGATTTTAATATATATATATATATATATATATATATATATATATATATATATATATATATATATATGCGATTATAAACAATGTGGCTTTTATGCTCGTTTCAGATGAAGTTGTTTGTAGTCGCTGCGCTTGCTGTGTGCGTCCTCGTACCCGCCGCTCACTGCGCATCCGGATCGATAGGTGTGTATTAGCTAAAGGCCTTTTTTTTCATGAAATATTTTGAATTCACTGTTACACTGAATTTGTACTTATGGGAATCTGAATGTCCTGTTTTTTCACCCCTTTTTTCATCCAGCCTGGTGTTATCACCTCCCATCCTGCAGTAAGTACCCAATATCTCCATTATCTATTATATGTTGCCCACTGGGTGACCCCTCCTCGGTGACGTTACGTGTTCTTTCTGCTCATAGATGACACAACCTGGTCAACAATTTCCCCGGAATATTGCAACGGCACCCGACAGTCACCCATTAACATCGTCTCAGCATCTGCCACACAAAACGCCAATCTGACTGAATTCACTTTTGTAAAGTATGACGACACCTCCGCAATGACATCCATAGAAAATACTGGCGACACAGGTGAGCCCGAGTTTATGGCTTAGTGCTTACAAAAGTTTGTTGTTGTGGGTTGGTGTTTTTTTTTTTTTTTAATCTTTGTGTTTCAAAACATATATTTCGACCTAGTTTAACAAAAATAATAATAATCATCATCATCATCATCATCATCATCATCATCATAAAGATAACTTGTCTTACTGGAATTTTTAGCGCCCTTCTCTTTTCTACAACTAAACGCACCCCCTTTGCACCTCAACATTCCCTCTTACTCCTCACCGGTTAGATGTAACCTTATTCTGTTTTTATTTTTCCACCTTCAGTCAAAGTGACCCTTAAGAGCGGAGTTAAGATTTCAGGAGGGGACCTGTCCGAGCAATACGACAGCCTACAGTTCCACTTCCACTGGGGCAACGGCTCCTCTGTCCCCGGCTCCGAGCACACAGTGGATGGAAAGCGCTATCCTATGGAGGTACAGATTTATTTTGATGCTGCTGTGTTTCTTCGATAAATTCATATTAAAATTGTAAATAAAATAAAATAAGCAAGCAAACATCTGTATGATCTTTATGAATTTATGTATTTTCCCAGCTGCATATTGTGAACAGCAAGTCATCCTACAATGGGAATACAAGTCTAGCCGTCAAAGACTCCACCGGACTCGCAGCTCTTGGTTTCTTCATCGAGGTAAGAGAAGCAGCGCACGAGATGATGTAATGCCTGTTGTGTTATTCAGTATTCCAACCTCACTGCATTTTGGTGAGGTGTTGTCCCTTGTTGGTCATTTCCTCTTCTGAGCTGTGGAAAACAATAAAATATATATATACTTTTTTTCCCAGGTAATGTCAGGCAACTCAACTGGTCAGCCGGAAAGCTGGCGCAATTTGACCTCTTACTTGGCCAACATCACAGAAAAAGGTGATAATTTTTTTGTGGAAAACCTCCTCTCCTCTTTCTGACTCTAAATTGTGTCACCCATAGTTCCTTCATATAGGTCTTGTTTCTGTCTTCAGGCCAGAAAGTTTCAATTGCAGCTGGGTTTTCCCTGGACGACCTGCTCGTTGGTGTGGATCGCACTAAGTATTACCGCTACCTCGGATCCTTGATAACGCCAACTTGTAATGAGGCGGTGGTCTGGACCGTTTTTAAGGAACCAATTAAAGTCAGCAAAGATCTGGTAGGTGTTATTTCATTTCTTTCTTCTGTCTCTTAATTGTCATTGCTGCGAGCACAGATGGTCTATAAGTGGTTCATGAAGCTAATTGGAATATCATCACCAGATTGACCTCTTCAGCACCACAGTGCGTGTCGAAAACAGCACGTCACAACTCATGACAAATGTCTACAGAAGCCTGCAGCCTGCACAGCCAGTGTCAACTCAGAGCGTCAGGGCCTCTGCCTCCTCAACCTGCTTCTCCCTTGGCCTGCTACTTCTCAGTCTTGCACTGGGCTGGATTTGGAGTTAAAATAGAAAGAGAACGTCATCGTCAACCCGTTGCCTCACTTCAGAACATTCGCTCTTTCCCCCATTTAACTAAAACTGACCTTTGCTGATTTTTAGTGTAGCTCTCTGTGTTTGACATAATCACGAAAAGTGTGAAGAACAATTTTTAAAGGTGAAGGCTACCTCTGCACCAATGTTATCTCTCAACAATATCTCTTGATTATGGCTACCTGTGACAAAGCACTTACCTGTTATCAGATTTGAGTCTGAATGCATGCACGCACCTCATGCATGCAAAGTTTACTTTATGCAATGACATGCACAAGTTTTCATTTTGCGAGGCCAACATGGTGTGAACAATTAAGGCATGTTCCACATCTCTGTTGAGCTGCCAGAGCTAGGCGTGGGTGAGAAAGGGATGCATGATATACCTTGATGTTGGCACATGCAACTAGTTTAGTTTACCAGCTGATGATTGAAGGATATGGTGATTTTATTTCTTTGTTATTTGTATTTATTTTAAACTATTGTAACCTTTCTTGCCTCCATTAGTGCAGCTACTGCTGCATTTGAGGTGCACTGTGCTAAAACCACAAAATGAAAAAAGAAAACATGCCGATTCCTTTATGAAGTTCGTGTTTTGAAGGTTTTGTGTGTTACTTTCTCAGATGAAAAAAATTGTTTATCAGTGATGCACATTGCTTATGTCCTTAACACTGTACTGTATTGCTTCAACATGAAGAAAACTGACTTTCCTGATCTTCTTAAATGGCATTTAAAAAAATTTTGTGAATGTTTGTGCCGCTTTACTCTCTTTTTATAAATTCTTGGAAGTTTCTGGAAATTTTGAAATGATACATAGCTGGCTGGAGTGCTTCATAGGTGCATTTGTTACACCTAACTAGGCCAAGCTGTCTGAGCTTTTGAGAGGTGTCTATTCTAGTTTACAAAATGTGCTTCAATAATGTATTTTAGAACAAAGATCCCTAGTTTTATTCCCAACCTGTGAAGCTGCCAATTATTTGTCCACACTGGTTTTAACCTTGCATGACCCATGCCATTTACTAACAAAGCAGGGCAAACAGACCTGTTTAAACTCAAACCGCTTTGAAGGATTTGGCTGTGTGTGTGTAATGGTTAACTAGCCGTATTATCAATGAAAGGTTGGGGTTGCAGTTAATTTGATTTTAACTAAGTGAAACATATTTTTATAACATATTTTTCAGGCCACAAGACGAGCATTCTTATCACATTGCTCTTCTTTTTGTAATGGCGGTATTTGATGTCCTTGAGATAAATAGGTCCCTGCAAACAGGGAGAGGTGTTCCTAATAATGCTATCATCAATCTGTAACTGAACACACAAACAGAACTGTCACTGGAGAATGACAAGTATTTAATCATTGAAAATGAAACATCTTGAATCTGAACCAGATAAGACAACATGAGGTAACATGCCTTCACACTTGTGGCAAGGGCAGTGACGCCAAAGAAATATGTGTTACAAGCAAAAGACAAAGCTACAAACCAAAACCAAAAGTATAAAATTCAACATTAGGACATTTTAATAGTTTCTGATAACTTATAAATGGTTTTGTTTAAGATTTTCTTTCACAGAGATTTTACAAAATGTATATTGTCACTTTACAGTAAGTCTATCTGACTCGAGCTGTGAAAACCACTGAAGGATTTGGTATGTTTCATCTGCAAAGTTAAGCATCTCAGCTTAACACAGCCCAGCCTTAAGAATATTCTACAATGACAGCTATTAATGTCAATGTAAAACAACCAAAACATTGTACATTTGTAAAAACTACACAAATATAAAAAAACAAAATCTTCAATTTACCATAATCCAGATCTGCTTGTGCACTATATATTTTGATATTTTAGCAAAAGCACCAAAATCTAATTATAAATAGATATATTTAAAGATGAAAATGACTTTTGCTGTTAAGTATGTTTGATTTACCTTTTTATCACCCCAAGCACAAGGCGTTACATAAGACCTTGTTATGAAGAAGTAACCTGTGTGCTTGCGTGTGGTGTTAAATGACGTTTCTTTCTTCTGTAAAGCTCATTGTAATTCAATACAAAAATGTCGCAATATGTTTCAGATGAGAAACTGTATTTATAAAAACCCAGGGGGTTTAAGAGAGGCTTTTTTTGCCACTGGGACTCAATTTGAAACTATTGTGTAACTTTATGCAAGTAAGATGACATAAAGTCATTCTATTAATAACCCGCCAGTGGAAAAAAGGGAGAAGTAAACACTGACTCAAGAAAATTACAAACTCATGTTTCTTATAATCTCATTGGTTAGCAGCAAAATAAAAATCAAGAGGAGAGAGCTGCTTCTCAGCGATGAATGCGATCCCAAGAAGATGCAGGTGCATTCTTTTGGGAATTGAGGATTTGTTGGAGTGGAAGTTGAAGGAGCAGCTGGACATCTAAGCCAGTCTACAGCGATGGATTTTGGTGTGACATCATCTTGGTTCAGGTCTCCATTTGTGAGCATCCAGTAGGAATTATCCTTGAAGAAATAGGTATTTCCTTAACAACAAAAAGAAAAAAAGAACACGAAAAGCAATGCAGCTGTTATTTTGTTTCATCAAATTATGAATAAACCAACCCACACAAACTGGATGCTGATTAAAAGGAGTGGAAGACAGCAGCACATTGTAGTTTTTGTAACTACAAAGTAGTTATGTGGTTAGCTCCTGCACTTATGAGGGCTCAGAAAGTGTACTTCTAAATCCTGTCATTTCAAAAGCTCTCTTACCCTGAAGCCAAAGTTTTCAACAGCTTTATTAAAAATACTAAAATTACTGTACTAAATAAATACAAAAATTAAAAATTAGCCCTTTCTGGGTCAGCTGGGAGGCATCCACTGATTTTCAACAAATCACCCACCTGTTAAATTAGTCATATTTGGATTGTCATTCTAATATAAAGTATGCTTTGATGTGATACTACTACTTTTCATACTACATGAAGTAATGAAATAGGCTATGACATGGCATTTTTTTGTGCAGGAATCTTTCCTTTATTCATTTATCTACTTGAATCATGTTGCATCTCAGTGTAAGATGTTATTTAGAACTTCTTATCTTAATCAGCGCTCTTCCACTCCTTTCTGTGCGTCATTCCCTTGAGCGTCTTGGGTGTGACAGCTGACAAAAGCTATCTCCCAAAATAACTTCTCTATCATTGTTGTGTATTTATCTAGAGCAAAGGTGGACAATTCATTTTCCCAAAGGGCCAAGTGAGAAACTGTACCAATAAGCTTAATCCTTATTGGTGCCCAGTTTCTCATGTGGCCCCTTGGGGAAATGAATTGCTCAACTCTGATCTCAAGTTTGTAATAGAAGATCATCACATATGTCTCCATTTTAACACAATGTTACCTTCTCGCCAGCTAATGATGCCATCGATATGGGCAGGCATTCCTTCCCATAGGGTGTTTTCCCGTGGATATCCTTGCTCTGGTTGGATGGTCCTCTGTCCATTCTCAATGTTTTCGTTAAACCTCCAAAACTCCCCTCCGCTGAACAGGTATGTTTTGCCATTATGAGCCCAGTTGAAAGCAGCGTCCACCCTGTTCACTGTCTCACCCGACTTCTTCTTCATGCCCCAGTCAGAGAGAGGCCGAGGGTAACCGGCCATAGCCACTGTGTCCTTGAAGACCCAGTACTGAGCTCCTGGACATGGCGAAAGCAAAACAGAATATTTCAACAGAAAATCACTTAATGTGAGTCGGAACCATATCGTGGTGAATTCTTCGGTTTATCAGCAGAAAACCAAACTGGAAAGTACCGATAATACAGACCCAGTGATACAGGCAATGACCCAAAAGATACAGCAGAAGGTTTGAATGTAAAGAAGTGAAAATATTTGTCTGGGGCAGATCTGTTCAGGACATTGTCTTCAGCTGCATTTCACTTAGCGAGGACAAAACTGAAGGCAGGAAAGACCAAATACAAAAACAGCAGAAAACAGCAGCATTAAAAGCCTGGAACAGAAAGAAAACACCAGGACAAACTGGACCATATTGGCTGACTTTAAAAGTTTAAAAATAAGTATTTTATTTATTATTATTATTATATTAATTTGTACATATTAAAAATAAATCCTCATTGTTTTAACACCCTTTTTTGTTCTGCCTCTTAATTAAAAACTTACAATCTGCACTCCAGTTGCATCTCAATTGTTTCGTCTTCACATCTATTGTGGCAGCGTGTTGAGCCAAAATAATAAAAAAAATGCATCACTGTCCAAACACTTCTTGACCTAAATGACGTATATGAAAATATTTATATACGATTTAACATTTCACCCCCCACTCAAAAAAACCACCATGTTTAAAATATAACAGACGTGAGAAGTCACCCACTTCTCACGTCTCTGAACGGCCAAAATTAGATCACCTGAGGCCATACATAACCACAAGATTTAGCTTCTCACCGATGAAGAAGATGATGCGGCTGTCACTCTTCCTCTCATACACAGCATCGATCTTGTTTATTCCTTCTGGAAGGCCCATCCAGAAGTTTTTGATCTGAGCCGGATTTAAGGACACCAAAGATCCATCTTGCTGGGTTCTCCAGAACTGTGCACCTTTTTGAAGAGAAGACACAAAAGAAACAACACGGATAAATAAAATAAAAATAAATTTTTTTGACGAATGTGGAAAATTAATTGAGATGTATTTTTTATTCTGTTCAGCACAGATCCACTTTTTCATACCTTTAAAGAAGAAGACCTCTCCCCTAATGTTTCCTATAGCATCAAAGCCTCCCTGACACCGCTCTTGGAATGATGGATCAGAACTAGGAGAGAAAATTGAATCAAAATCAAGTTAAACTTTGCTTTTACTGCATTTGTTTGATAAATACACTAGAGGGTGCTGTGGGGCCAAGAATGCCACAGTGAGAGTCTTTAAGCTACCACTTAAATTAAATAGACTACTACCTTACGATTATATTCACAGAGATTTTTACCCCAAGCTTCATTCATGCAGGAACACACACATTCATACAAGTACGTTTTTTCTATACTTAAGTACAATGTCTAACATTTGTTAACACACGCTCAGACACCAATGGAGCCGTGAGGTTTTAGTATCTTTCCCTTTACGTTGACATGCAAACTGCAGCAGCAGGGTATCAAACTATCAGCCTTTTGACTGATAGGGGCCACAGCCTTCCCTAATTAGTCATTCTTCTTTTTTTTTTTTATGTGACTCTGTCTGAATGCATTAATAGTATATTCATAGCTTGTAAAGTCAAATATTATGTGATGATTATCTGGATTAAAGTGCAATCCAGATAATCCCCCCACCCCCAATCCCTCCCATGGTTCAGCTCACTGCTGTGTTGGCCTCGGTGGAGGTGGACTGGGCAGGCGTGGGAAGTGGGGATCATCACCACCTGGTCGGTCAGCATCTTTCACACCTGCAACAGAAGAGTGACAGAAGACACTGTGGAAGAGGAAACGAAAGCTGACGACAGTATAAGAAAAACTCAGCAGGCAACCCACATTCTTCTCAGTGTGCAGAGGTGTTTGTCACACAGGATGCAAGGCTTTTTCTTTTTTAAGACATGAGGAAGATATTCAGTTACATCACTGCATGAATGCAGTATTGCACACAAAACCAGATTAAAACAGTGTTATTGCATTACTGTATTATTTTTATCTTTTGTAGACGTTTTACGTTTTATAGCGTATTAAGCTATAACAGAAATATATCAGTAATGAATAGCTGAGAACAACTGTGTAAGAGTTTTATAAAACCTAAGTGTAAAGTGCAATTTTATAAACTAGAAACAAATAGCAGAGACAGCTTATATTTGCAGGACCACATGTCCTCCATGTACATTTGCCCAAATCAAGAGTGGTCATTAGGACTGTGCCATATATCATCTGTGATAAGCCCAGTATCATTTTTTATGTGATATAAAAATATCATATTTAGTTCATTTCAGTTTTATTTATTTAGCACCAAACCATAAAGCACTCATCTCAAGGTGCTTTACTGTAAGGCAAGAAGGCTATAACAATAGAGAGAAAACCCCAACAATCAGATGACCGCTGATGAGAAAGCACTTGGCAGCAGTAGGAAGGGAAAACTCTTTTTTAACAGGAACAAGGCTCAGTGAGGGACAGCCATCAGCCATGACCGATATTGATATGTCATGCCTTTAAGGGAGCGCGAGAACCCTGCAAAATATGCAAGAAAACTGTTTCCGCTGAAAGTGGAAACAATGACCTTAAATGTCTACATGGTGTGCTGCTCAGAGCACTGGCTAGCTGCGCTTGCTAGTAGGTAATCAGTGACTGTTGCTCATTAAAAAAGAGGGATTGAAGACGATGTTCATTAACCTACATAATGTAGGTTGCTAAATGTAAGCATCAATATAAAAATATTTATTATTTTTTTCAATATCATCATTAATATTCTTATCAAAAACTATGTTGAAATATCATGGAATATGTGATACATTTTTGAGGCTATATTGCTGAACTCTTGTGGTCATGTTAAATGGATGGTTGATATAACTTACATAAAAAAAATCAAGTAATATAATTCACAAATTCACAATCAGTTTGAAAGGGCAAATGGATATGAAGAAAGATTTATTGCTACAATAGTGGTATGATATGGCAATATGAGTGTAATACTCCACCACTATTTTTACATCATCAAGTGCCAGATACTGATTTGACGAGTGTACGACTAGTCAGACTGACCGTAAAGCTGCTGGATGGCGAGCCTGTCATCCATGGCCAGTTTAAAGTGGGCAATGTCTTCCACGGGACCCTGATAGTACGGCCTCATGATGGATGGATCAGAGGAGGAATGAGAAAGGCCCAGTGCATGGCCAAACTCATGCACTGCAACTGTGAACAAGTCAGTACCTCTGCTATCACCTGTGGAAGTGTGAAGGAAAAGTGTTACCGTTTCACAAGAAAGCAAAGAAAACCCACTTAAAATTAGATAGTGGACATTCTGGGTAAGTGAATGATGAGGTTTTTTGTATTCTTCATATCCTTTTATATACCTGCGGAGCTCCAGATCTCATCGTCATCAAAGTGTGTATCACCAGATATGTCAAGTGTTCCTGGGAAAAAGGCATGGGCCAGAGTGCCACCTTGCCCATCAAAAGGGTACCCATCGTCGTGAAACATGTGGTCAAAAGACACTCTGATGTCCCCGTTAGCTGTGGCCCCATTGTTGTCTCTCCTCAGCTGACGGAAATTCAAAGGGGCCACGTCACTCCAGGCTTTGAAGGCATGAGTCAGGAGGCTTTCCACGTCATTGTTAGCCAAGCCGGGGGAGGTGGAGGGATTTGGGTAGCTGTGGATACTGGAGACAGAAAACTTAAATGCTGTGACTTGTGTATTTTTCACATTCCTCTTTTTTTTAATCACACATGATGTTTTAATACTGTCCCGAATTCTTTTGATTGAGGTGTGAGACAAACAACCACTGGTCCAGATGTGTCAAAACAATGATTTTATTAAACACACGCGTGGAAAGAAATACACCATCACAATTCTCAGCATAAATCTCCGCTAGAAAGCACACTTCAAATGGTTTTTATATATCAGGGTTCACGCCTCCTCTTGTGTCAGGCAGATACATGTCATGCATAAATTACAGTTAATGAAAGTCACCTTTAACACACCTAAAGAGACATTTTCACCGTCTCCGAGCCAGATGTTTCCTGTGGATGTTCTCCTTCTCGCTTATCTCTGGAACATCACACATTCTGCAAAATCTGTTGCTTATGCAGGTACAAATTGCAGTTACAAGCAAGTCTCACCTCTACCCTAAAAAATAAATCTACGTAATGTCTGTGTCTGTAAGCGTGCTTGCTTTGACCTTTCTGCACTGTGTCACCTTTCACAATATGTCATCTAGACAGTCAGATGAAGCTTGTAACCCTCAAAAACAGAATGCCAACTCTTTTATGCGCACATTTGCAGTATGTGTAATAATATAATTAAAACTACATGTTTAATAAATGTTTTCAAAAAATGCCACTACTCAAAGATCTCGTTGTCTCACTCCTCGGTCCATTCAGCCACCTCCACCAACGGCATTATGGACCCTGGACCGATTGGCCCCGAATCCACAGCCCTATACATACACAGCTGTATACATACAGCATATTAAAATGTCATTAAAATTCAGCCTTGCAGAAGGCTTATGTTATCTAAAAGTGGAGCCTTCCCTTTTTCTCAATTTTTTTCTCCTTCATTACAAGTTACAGGTCAAATTTAACAAAACAAAAAACAATTTAAACATCAAATTCCAAGGTGTCACTTTGATGCCACATGCTGGTTTGCAAAGTCCTCAAATTTGGCTGAGGTAGACTTATTAAGATACGACATTTCAAGTCATAGGTGGATCTGATTGTACAGAAGAGGATTATGGCCACTCTTTTCTCAGAATTCTGGAAAAGAAGAAAAAAAGATGTGCTCTCTTTTTTTCTGGTGGCCCTAATCTTCTATTTTCTTCTGTATAATTGAGAAACCAAGCAACACTGCATTTATAGGCTGTAATATAGGCTTGTTGTTCTCATATTTGTGCAACAACACAAGAACACAAGTTATCATAGTGGAAAGCTTTAGAATTTTTAAATCCTGCATGCTAGCACTTACTTCAACCTTTAACCTTCAAATGGTAACAGGTTCTCCTCTTTTTCAGCATGTGGGTAAATTTTCTATAATAGAAAGGTGCTATATAGTTGTACTTATATTCAAACTGAGCACTGGTGGAAGACTTGCTCTACCACTTGAGCCACATCCACTCACACATCATTCTGTTAGCACCACACACTATCAGATAGCTTCCTCAATAAAATGCCTCTTTAATCCTGACTTAGTTCCTATATTTGATGTAACATGACTAGCTTGTTGGCCATGACAACTTATGGGGTAAAAAACATGTCAAGTGTTCCTGGGATATTCCCATGATTCATACACATATGATAAAACCACAATGTCACAATCATCACACGAAACCAACCTCCATGTGAGATCTGTCTTATCCCACTTTAGGCCTGATAGTGCATATCTTTTCCTCCTCCTTCGCCTCCTCAGTATGTCGTCTCTTCCGACAATATCAGGAAGAGAGCATCGTGGTTTAGACATTAGTTTGAGCGTTTCCGGGTCTGGAAGAGAAGATGATTAAATATCATGTGTTGAAATGAAAGAAGGTGTTGCAAGAACTGCAAGGCCTCATGTGACCCCTGTCTAGAAAAAAAATGTACAGTGTTGTGCAAAAGTCTTGAGCCATCACTAATTATATTGCATTTTTCCTGTGAAAATGGGAAGAAGGAAATTGCTGAAATGTGCAAATATACACTACCAGTAAAATGTTTTGGAAACATTTTCTCGTTTAATGTTTTTTCTTTATATTGATGACTATTTACATTGTATATTCTCACTGAAGGCATCAAAACTATGAATGAACACATTTGGAATTATGTAGTAAACCAAAAAATGTGAAATAATTAAAAACATGCTTTATAGTTTACATTCTTCAAAATAGCCACCCTTTGATTTAATTACTGCTTTGCACACTCTTGCTATTCTCTTGATGAGCTTCATGAGGTTGTCAGCTGAAATGGATTTCTCTTTACTTAGCTGATTGGTTCTTGCCAGAATATGAATTAACAGTTGTAAAAATAGGGCTGTTAGCTGTGTACCAACCTGACTTCTGCACAACACCACTGATGGCCCCAACCCCATTAAGAAGGCAAGAATTTCCACAAATGACAAGTCACACCTGTGAAGTGAAAACCATTTCAGGTGACTACATCATGAAGCTCACTGAGGGAAGGCCAAGGGTTTGCAGCACTGTTAACAAAGCAAAGTGTGACTACTTTCTGGAATCTAAAACATGAGACATACTTTATCAATTTTTTCCTTGCTACATAGTTCCACATATCTTGCTTTGTATATTTGATGTCTTCAGTATGTATCTACGATGTAGAAAGTAGTAAAAATAAAGAAAAGCCATTAAATGAGAAGGCATGTCCAAAGTTTTGACTGGTAGTGTATATGGAAATACAATGTCATCAACATAGCCCGAACTCTTTTTTTAGGGACGTTTTCTTGTCATTTGCAGTTGTTATTTCTTGATATGTCAAGCTTTCAGCTAATACCTTTTTGGGAATAACCTTGGTGCAAAAAACTACCTAATGCCTGTGAATGTCAATGACAATGTGTTTTTGCAATGACCTGCGGGTAATAAAGTGTATAAAAAGGGTTCAAACTGATTCATTTGTTGGATTTGGTGCCTTTTTTTCTGCTTGATGGATGGGAGCAGCTACAATGTTTGCTTTCCTTAACATTTATGAACAGCTTTATTTATTTATTTAGTTATTTTATTATTTATATTTTTTTATTAGTTTTTCTGTTTTCACAAATAGTACATAATTACATAACATAATTAAGTGTACAATTCAGAACCAAAAATAAATAAATAAATAAATAAATAAACAAAAACAAATAGACTGATAACTAAGCACAGAACACCAGCTCAGTTCCATCTAAAAAATAAATAAATAAATAAAGAGAAAATACAATACAATACAATACCTGTGGTCCCAGTAGTACTTTGCAGTTTGAACACTCAAGAGAATCCTTGTAACATAATATTAGAAACATCAGGTTCCACATAATTCAAGTATGGTTCCCACACCTTAAAGAATTGATCTGTTTTTGAGTGCAGTATACATGTAAGATATTCCAATGGCACTAGATCCAACACTACTCTTTGCCAACCTTTAATAGTTGGTGCTTTTTCATAAATCCATTGGAGTAGTATATTCTTCCTTGCCGCATAGGTGAGAACACAGTACAATCTCCTATTATTCTTGGATATTAATCGCCGGCTGGGGAGGCCCAGTATGAGAGACAGAGGGTCCAATTCACAACCGAAAATTGTCTCCATTTCAGATAACACATTACACCAATATTCTTGCAATTTCAAACATGACCAGAAGCTGTGAGTTAGGGTACCAATTTCTGTCTTACATTTGAGGCACATGGGTGAAAGGGTAGGATTATATTGATGATGTCTGCGAGATATGGATATATGCATTCTGTGTATGATTTTTAACTGTATTGCTTTGGTACGATTACAAACTGAGATTGATTTGGCATAACTCCAGACATCTTTATATTCTTCATCATCAATTGCTATACCTAACTCCTTTTCCCATGTGCCTTTAAGCCTCTGTGACATCACTGAAAGTACAGAATATAAAGCATTGTAAAATATATTCACAGGTACCTCTTTGTCTGTTAAAAATAATAATTTTTCAACAGGGGAGACTTCATGACTCTCACTAAAGTTAGTACTTTGTAAAATATAATGCCTTATCTGTAAGTAACGGAAAAAGTCATGTTTGGGGAGAGAATATTTCTCAACCATTTGGTCAAATGGCATAACTACATTGTCGGAGAATAAGTCCCTCAGTCTCTGAATGAACCGCTTTATGAACAGGTGGTTGGATGAAGGACTCCTGGCAGCTTTTTCCCAGTAAAAGTTTTTAATGTCAGTTAAAAATTGACATGGTAAATTCAGGTATTTTGCAATCCACATGAATTCTCCATCTATCTCATCTACACCTGGACCTCTATGTCTTATATGGCAACAACTGAGCATGAATTTAAAAAAGTATCGAAGCAAAAAAATTTGCATTTATGATATTTTATAATCAAGTTATTTGAGTTTAGGGATGGGTATCGTTTAGGTTTTATCCGATACCGGTGCGAAATCGGTACTTTTGAAACGGTGCCGGTGCTCAAACAGTGCTCAAACCGGTGCTTAAAGAATGGAAAACACAAAATTGGTCCAAAAACCTCTCATGGTCAGCTGGTTTTTGTAAAAAGATAACAATGTTAGCCTTTTCTGCAGCTATGGGGCATATATGGTATCACTCTTAGCTGGAAGCAGTGCTTAAATAATGGAAAAAATACAAACTTTGTCCAAAAACCTCTCATGTTTAGCTGTTTCCCTCTTTTTCTTTGGTCATTTTTGCCTTTTTGGCCAGGGTGAAGGGAGTATCTGCCATCAAACAAGAAGACAGCCGCATGTAGCTATGATGATGTTTGCTAGTTCACCTTACATGTATTAATGTAATAACGTGGTTAGCCTACTCAACCTAAATTACACACGAACAACATTAAGCTACTCACGCAGAGAAGAACGGCTGCTGCTGCCATCAAATGGCGCATTTCTCGGCTTTTAAAAAAAAAAACGCTATGCCTCGCCAGGTGTTTCATCGGATTCGAGGTGTTACCTCCTTTGACAGTATCACAGTATCAGCTTAAAGCACTTGTTGCAGGCTGCTGAGTTTGCATATTTTGCTGTGAAGTACAGCCAGACTTTTGACCGCTTAGCCTTGGGCATTTTTAATCTGTAGCTCTGCATAAAAGAACGTACGTACCTGGGCCCGCCTACTATCCTCGGAAACGTAAAATGATTGGCTAGAAGTGTGTCACAGCTCAGGGAAAAAAAGCACCGAAATAAAGCACCGAAATGTGCGCTGCTTTTCGGTCTGGTTACTACCGTTTATGTCAGAACCATCATGGCACCGGACACCGGTACCCATCCCTATTCGAGATACTCAATGAATCATTGCAGATGTAGATAAGTGGCTTAACAAACATGAGTGAAAAGCCAAGAAAAACACTGAACTATCCCTAGAAAGTTTGGAGAACTATTGCTCAAGACCACTTAAAAAATTATTGATTGATTTAAAAAGTTATAAAACACTCTGGCTCCTTAGAAGCAAATTGCAAAGAAATGAGGGGTAACTCGAGAGCTTTGCACAAAGAATTGTGTATAAATACAGTAATACATTCTCCTAACAGATGTGAGTTAAGAATAACTTACCAAGCTTCCCAGTTTCCCGGAGCCCTCCGAATCTCTGCATGGTACGAACAGCTTCTTCAATCCCTTCTTTCGTCAGCAGCTGACTTGTATGTGGGTCAGGACGAGGAAGGTACCCATACCTACCGAGCCAGTCCTGGACACAAAACAAGAAGAAATTGGTTGATTTCCCAAACTTGATTACTAATGAGGCTAGAAAATGTAAATGCATCCTCACCACAGTGAGTCAGTCATATCTAGCAAGGGTCTACTTTGATGTCATAGGAGTATTTGATACGCACTGTATCCTGCTCCACTTATGACAACGGATCAATCTGAACAAGCGCAGCCCTTTTTTTTCATTAACATTGCATGATCCTCTCTATGTTAAGCAAGTTGATTGATAGCATAAATGCTGTAGAGCAGTGTGTACCACAAAACACACAAGCACACAAAATACACACTTTACACACATACACTGAAACAATGAAATCTCTTTCTTGAACGTGATTTTGAAACCTGCGGTACTCTTACATGTCCTCCACCCTGCAAGCTGCACTTTGACAGGAAAAAGGTGGTGGCTTATTCCATCAACCGTCCTCTTTGATCTCTGCCTTCAAACTCCCTTACTCCCTTACACACACACACACACACACACACACATGCACACATATACACACATATATCTATATCTATCTATCTATACATATATACATATATATAAAATAATTTACCCCCAGTGAGATTTGCAGCAGTGTCATCCGGGATTTATGCTCTTTTTTCAATCAAAGAAGTAAAACATTTTTCTTTCTCATAACCAAGCCACACATGATATACACATACCACGAAATATAGCGATATTAATTCATATTTGAGGAACTGGAAGTGGGAAGCTTATCGTGCTTGCACGTCACATTTCATGTGAAGTGTGTAACGTAATGTCTATTCTATTTATACAACTAGTGGTTTTTCTGATGAAGGACTAATCTCTCAGAATGGTCAAAAGAAAGTCCCCAAAGCGTTTCATATGTTTGATATATTCTTATAAACCTCAAGAATCTCATATTAAATACCTCTATCTCCCCCACAAAACACACACACACACACCCCTTGCCGTGGGTAGTTAATTTTACCATCTGAAATGAAAAACACGTGGAAATACAATTTCCGATAAAGTACACATTAAATGTCAGATTAAAATTATATGTATATGATATATAGGATTCAAAGGGATACAAAAACAAACTGATGCAAAAGTAACACATACCCTACACTTTCCTCCCCACTTTCAGATACATCAAAGGAATCCACACAGCTGCCGATAAACGTTTACAACTCATAGAGGAATTTTTGTGTGTCGTGAATATTTTGTACTCACCACGGCTCTGCTGTATTGGTCAGGCCCTGCTAATGTGCTTCCCGTAAAGGTCCATATCATTAACAGCAGAAGGCAAAACTCCATCCCAGTCACTGCAAGAAAAGAGGAGGAAAAGTGCTCCACATCATTAACAGGATGTTTAATATTTGGAGGATTCTTGTTTATAATTCCGCAGCTTTCTCTAAATCAGCACATATTCAGGGGAACAGAGACGATGCTCACCGCTTGTTCTTCTTCAGCTGCTTCAGTCTCTCTTGGGACTAGGCTTGGTGGATCGATCGGGGAACTGTTGAGGCGTTCCAGTTACCTCGGAAATGAGAGTTGAGGGCTTTCAATAGTGAAGTCGCATTAGCAAGAAAAAACAGGATTTGATTTTCTCTGGCAAGGTAGAGAGATTCATGCAATACTACAAATACGTGTTTTTGGATCACTGGAAATATTTCTTGTTTTTTGTTGCTTTGTTTTTTACATCACTACCAATAGTTCTTTTTTAAACTAAAAACCAGCTGCAGTATATCCAGGAATAGAGCCTGGACAATGATCTGCTTATGGCTATTTAACGAGTCATAAGTATAAATCAGTCGCAGTACACATTACACGTTTAATTTGACGTGTTCAATTTGAAGTTAGAAGTTTCAGAGTTCCAGTTGGAACCTCAAACGCCTCATGAAGCTGCCTCACAGTCGAAGATGGCTAAGTGTTCAAAACAGTGGTAAAACTTAAGCACTCTGGAGCTGTGTGGGGATGATGGACCCCACATGGGCCCCTGTTAGGTGTGCCCAATCAGGCCCAACAGTAGTTTTAGGGTCCCTAAATGGGTTTTCTATTACCCACAGAGAACCATATGGTAACCCCCAAGTCGGGGGGGTTAATGGTTTTCAGTTGAAAAGCCTATTTTGGATTGCTACACAATTACATGGTATGAATTCAAGGTCCAAAGGGACAAATCTGCTATGGGCCCTGGATGGGTCAGCTTACATGAACACCAGGAATACCCACAATTGGCCTGCCCACAAAAAACACATATAGGGGCTTACGGTTTTACTTATATTTACATATACTGCTGACATTTTGGATTGTGAAGTTGGGGTTGGTGGAGCTGGTCAGATTTTCCAAGTTGGAAATCTGAGTTTCCAGTTAGAAATTCTGACTTGAACTGGAACACACTATAAGACATTGCCCCACCCCACCACCACATGAGCTGTTAAGGCGTGAGTAGGGGTTGAAATCTCTTGGAAGGACTCTCAAGCCTGCATTGCATGTGGCTGGTACCTGGTGTTGTTAGCCACCACATCTGTTCAGCAATGGCGGAGTAGAGGTGCATGGCCTCCTTTACTTATCTCTGTCTTCCATCATTTTGGTCCACAATGTGACCACTGGCATTTCTGAAAGAGTACAAACGCACAGCTGAGTCTTGTCCTGTTGCCGTGGCTCTCCTATGCTTTGCCATGTGTTTTGCAATGGTTTTCTGTTTTTTCCTACGTAAAAGTCAGAGGACTATTCACTGTACACTAGTCTATGCACTCTGTGGCTTATGTGAAGCCTCACATGATTAGTGGGTCAAAACATCTTCACATACCTAAACAAGTCCAGTTGCCTTCTTATCACGCATTCAAGCCAAGCAGCACAGGCTGTTTACATTTAGGTTCACAAACCTGTTTATTTACTTATTCATTTGTTTATTAATTTAAACATTTTCAAACCTGAAAATACAGACCAAATGAGACAGAGGACTCATGTACAATTCAGTAGAAATAGAAAGAACCTGTGGCTTTGTGGGCTCTCACACTAGACAAGATTTTTCAGGTCCGAGTCAGTATCACCATTTTTTACCTGATGCTTTGACCTGTCTTTGTTCTGGTACAGGTAATAAAATAGAAGAGACTTAGGGAGTAATTTCTTTAATTTTTCTTTAATTATTATCTGGGTCACATCAAATTATTGGGTTAGAGCAACCACAAACATCATCCTATTGTGTAGTAAACATACTTTGTGTGATTGTATATCCTTCTAAGATCCAGGAATTCATTCTTGTTCTCTGTGTAGGATATGAGTCTGAGACCTCAAGCATAGTTTATGCAATATATATGAGTCCTAATGTCCTATCAAGAGACATGTTGTGCTTTTGCAGTGATGCCACATTTGTAGGGTTTGATTTACAGACAACATGTAAATTCTTTTCAAAAATGAGAGGCACTGCAGCTTCCATGTTCCATAGCAACAATGGTTCATCTGTATTGATTGTATCTATTTTGAAAAATCCAATTGTTTCTTCAATTTAGTAGAATGTCGGAAATGTACAGTAATTTTAACACTTAACAAAACACAACTTCACTTATTCAGTCTCTTTGTCCAGAGGGCTGAGTGAACTGCCAAAGGGAAGTGAAACTTATTATTTGTCAGGAAAGGAAACACATTAGAGCAGCTAGGAGAAACCTCAGAGGATGACAAATGCCAAAAAAATGAGTATGACAAAATATACAAAAAAATATACAAACTTTGCAAATACAAAGTTATTTGCAAACAGGGTGATAGAAATTAAATTGAAACTTTTAAAGACATTTTAGCCTTTTTTAACAGCACATGGAAACTGCTCATGGAATTTCTGGAAGTTCTGTCTACCTTTACTCATCAGTCTACGTCTACATTTCTGGAGAACGGATGATGCTGCATTTGGCTTGAGTGCTCTGGCATCTCATAGCACATTATGTTTGTGGGTCTACATTTCCATTCGCTCTGCAAAGCATAACTGGTGTTATCTTTCCCTGCCCCCTCCCCCCCGTCTTCCTCTCCTCCCGTATTTAATTTCTGTTCATCCTCCAGGGCCCAAGTGAGTGGAGCCATTAGCGCATAAATGCAGCCCCGCTAATGGCAGGCCAGTTTCCATCATGCCCACTTCATGTCGCTGCCCTGTGGGAAATGATCAGTCTTTTAGCTGCTCAATATTTAGTAGTAGTGGTTGACAGCATATGTTCCATTCATGCTGTTGAACAAAAGATTCTGAATGGTGAACTCTGGGAAATTGAGTTTAAACAATCTTGCTGGAATGGACAGATGATGTTTTCCAGTTTTCCTGTTTGTTCAAGAAACAGCCTAATACTGTTGGCCTGTACTCTACGGCACCATGCAAAAGTCTTGAGTCACCCATCATTTCTTTATATTTTGATAGATAAATGGGAAATAAATGCAAAAATGTATCAACACATACACACATGGAAATGCATGATAAAAGCCAGAAACAACGTATGTACAAATCTAGGGAGTATGACCCCCTTTATTCTTCTACACAGCCTGAACTCTTTTAGCAAAGCCTTCTTCTCATTTCTTTAATTAGTCTCCAGTAAAAGTTCTCTAGGCTTCTTGTAGGACTTTCAACCCTAATCTTTGAATGTTGGCTGCCTTTCTGTTGTTGTTATTCCTGCTTCAGTAATGTTGATGTCTGGGTTTTAGCTCCTCAGACGGGGCTTCAGAGATCAGCTGAAGGGTCAGATGCGTATTTAGGATCTGACCTATCTCCCAGGTCCTGTGTCAGGTCTTTGCTGAATTTATTTTTCACATTTCATGCACATGACTTTTAGCTGTTCATCTTCTCTACATAGTCATTTTTTAGGCCTACGACTTCTTTTGTCCAGCACAATTTTTTAAGCACACACTGCACACCAAGCATGCCGAGGTTAACTGCAAATAACCTTTGATTTACTAGCCAATGGTCCAATTTGACTGTATTTTGGAATGAATAATGTTGCTACGTAAATAGCTGACCAGTTACTAGCCTGTTACCAATCTACATACACATCACTATTATCCTTTTCTTTTAAAACTTGTGAAACCATGCAAGTGCAAAACAATGTCACAAACGCAGACCTTTAATGATTCATTACACACAGTTTAATTTTCATTAAAGGGATCCAAGGCCTTCACAAAAGGGTTGACTCTTGGTAGCTATACAGTACTAACACAACACACAACAACAAAAACAACACAAAGGACTTGTGTGAACGAGTGAAAACACAAATAAATAAGGGCCGAAAGACATTTCGTATGAGATGCATCAATAAAACCAATAGTCAGAGGAAAGTGAGCAGAGGTTCAAACTCTGCAGATTACAGCAACAGCTTTTTGTACAATACTTGATTTCATTTCTGATAGGAGCTGATTGTCTGTAGCAGCTTGTTTTGGTCATGCACATTTGTTAAAGCCATTGCTGTTGTATTGACAGTGTTGCATTAACTTCACAGTTATTTACCTCTACTTCCAGCTTTGATTGTCTTTTGAGTGTTTGCACTATGTTTTTGTACTGATTGTCATAGGCTAATAAATATTTATGATGTGGTGTATCGTGTATATATCACTGCAAACTTTGTTATGGAATTGCTTCTGATTTCTTGATTGATTGAATAAAAAGATTACATCCACAGCATATAGAATAGAGACAAAATGTAGCTGATTTACAGTTTGCCCCCCAAAAATCTGCTAATGCCATTTTTATTATTGTGTAGACTGATTTTATGATCAGCCAGTACTGACATCAGCATTACTAATCAAACTTGTGCTTTGAGAGTGAATGAGCCTACAGCATGCTACATTCTTCCCTCCAATAACATCCGACAATATTTCACACTTATCTTCATCATACACAGATGTCTGTACAAAAATATGTGGTCTCAGTGTAATGTTGCTGGCAGGAGAGGCAGGATTTACACTTGTTATGGTATGTTTTGTTTTTTTGTTTTTTTGTTTTTAGTTTCAGTACAAGTGATTGCTGTAAGCAAGTCTAAAATCTTCACAGTAGCCTCACACAGCTTATGCTTAGCGAACAAGCTAGCTATCACAATATCTTTGAGCTGCTCAAGTAACAAGAAACTGTGGTTACACTTCACAATACACCTGACATACGCTGGCCTTAAGGATTGATCTTAAAGCTGAAGGGTAGAAGTAAAGTCAGGTATAATTTAAAACTCAAAGCAATCTCCTGCACCCTTTTTTGATAAACGATCCGAGTGCTTGTGGTGGATGGTTGACCTCTGGGAGGATGGTTTCGCTGGAGGTTAAAAGCAAGTTTTGCTGTTAAATCGATAGTCCTCTTGCGAATATTGTAGGGTCATCACCTTACAACATAAAACCCCTTGAGATGGCTTCTGCTGTCAACTGGCACTATTTAATTAAACTGAACAGAATAAACAACATTTTTGCAACATAATTCTAAAATGTAAACACTTTTTTTTTTCGGAAATGTGTATTGAGCTTTAGGAAGACCAGTATTTTCCTCTTTGTTCTTTTTAGTGCTTTGGCTTGGATCATATATACTTATAAAAGAAAAAACCAGACTGTGTAATGGAATTTTGGAAGGTTTCAAAGCTAAGTCTTAAATATCAAATGCTACATTAAACCCTGATTTAATCCTGACTCTAATCCTAAACACACCTCAGACTGATCCTATACCTAACCCTGACTTCAGCGCTATGTACACATACTATCCAAAAGTGCAACCTGATAATACTAAGATAACACCAGTACAGCCGGAGTACTGTTAAGTGCAACCAAAGCTGCTCTTGGCTGAATTTGTAAACATTTAATGCATTTTTGGGGTCTGCAACCCCTTCGAGGCCCCTCTATAGCTCAGCCCTGTGCTTGCTTATATTCTTTTCTTCGCACTCGTTTTATTTTACATGCCCTTTTTTTCCTTCTTCTTCTCTCGTCGTGCTGATTGGCAACGATTGTCTGTTGTTCACTGTAATCTGGCCCAGTACTGACCCAGGCTCTGACTCATGCTCTGCGGCTCAGTTCCTGGGACCTGGACTGGCACTGACACCCCAGGCGATATGAGCCCTGAATAGAGGAGAAAAACAGTCAGAAGCGTAAAGAGTCAGACAGAAATCACAGATAGAAATAAAGCAAATAACAAAATGATGCTAATAAACGCTCACCCGTGTTGGAGTTGGCCGAGGGTGGAGACTGCAGATGAGGGGAGGAGTACGCTGATGAGTCAAAGCTGCGTGGTGCAGAAGGAGATGGAGGTAACATGCAGGAGTAGGAGGAGGCCGACTGGGGAGGAATTGACTGAGAGCGGACACAGGAGTGGAGAAAGATGTTGGTACGCATTACATACAAGTCTACTTTTAAGAGCAGAATCATTGCTGTCTACTAGACCAGCGGTCTCCAACCTTTTTTGCGCCACGGACCGGTTTATGCCCGACAATATTTTCATGGACCGGCCTTTAAGGTGTCGCGGATAAATACAACAAAATAAAACTAGTACCGGTACCGAAAAAAAGAAGATTTATTCATAACACACGTGAAAAGACCCAGGAAAACAGAGTAAACGATAAAAACGATAACAAAATAATGCTGAAAACCGATAAAAACCCTGAAAACTATACATTTGACACCTGAGCCTCAACTCTCGCGGCCCGGTACCAAAAGACTCACGGACCGGTACCGGTCCGAGGCCCGGCGATTGGGGACCGCTGTACTAGACCATGTAGCACTAAAACAGTTACAGCAACATGGTTTGGGTTTAACCACACGGAGGTGCTAGAGGCTTGTGGTATGGTCGGATTGTGGTTCAGCGCGGCGGCAACAGCAGCGTCACGCTTTTGTTTAATACTGCAGATGCAAAAAGAGTCAAGGTTTTCTTTCAAATCTTTTTAAAGATTTAAACGTTGCGATGATAATATTTTCAGAAATCAGACCGGGAAGACATTTCTAATGCATTATTGTTGAGGCTCTGGCACACATGAATTACAATCCACTGGAAACCCACAGAGCTGCGCATCCTACATCCCTCAAAGTGGGGATTAGCTGCAGGCTCCTGACAAAGAATGTGAAAGCAAACTGCATTTTCGTTAAAAAACCATTTCATATTCTATAACAAACCTTTTGTTCAAAGGCTTTTATACAATATTGCAAACCTTCCAGCTTTCAGAACAATGCCAAAGTCTGCCAAGGCCTTCAACCTGACACACCCTTTGCATTTTCCACAGGAGAAATGTTCAATGCAAAATGAATTTGGAATTCAGTGGTTGAAAAATATGATTAATAAAGTTTGGCTGATAAGAAGGAGCTATAAGTTGTCAGAAAAACAAGTGTACATCTCCAGTTTCGTGTATTGGGTGCTTTGCTTGAAGCCACATCTATAAGAACCTTATTAAGAACTGACTGGATCTATTTGACTGTAAAAATGTCCAAATTATGGCATTATGTCAGTCAAAATTTGAGAGAAGCAAAAAACAACCCTAATGTAATTCATATTCATTCACACGATGTCACAATCGTTCATCAGTTTAAAAAAATCAATCAATTTAAAGGTCTTTCAAACCATATGTCTCTAATATTAAAGAATACTGCTGTGACCACGTTTTATTATCAGCTGCAGAATCATTTATTAACTTTGATTAATATGAATTTCAGAGCCTAGAAGTGATAATAAACAGGTTCTGATCTGTTATGATGAATGTGATGTAGTTTGGAAGGTGCTGATGATAAATGATGAATGACGAATGATGAATTTCCAACCTGGACTCCAGATGAGAAAACTGACAGGGAGCTGTAGCTGGGCAGGGACGACTCAGCCTGACTCAACATGGACCCTGGAGAGAGAGAGAGGAAGAGAGCGAGACACACAGGGTGCACGCACAGTGAGCATGTGCGCACAAATTTACGCACAAGCATCTCGCAGTGGAAATGTTTTAATATAGATGCGCTCTAATGGAGAACCTCTAATGGTTTGCCAGCCTGCAAATGTCAAGCAGAGGGAGCTCTGAGGCTGGTAATTATAAACTACTAAAATATTCCTGTCACCAAATACATAAATTATTGAGAGAATAGGTAAAGTCTTGCTTTCAGGCTCCTCGTGTGCTGTATGAGTTAAGTCAACAAACACACCTGAACTGCTGCTGTGCTGCTGATGATAGACAGACGTGTTGAAGGAAGTGCTCAGGGGGGCTTGGCTCTGCGAGCAAGAAGTCACACCGCCTGACCTCCGCTGATTGCGCAGCTTCTCCTCTCTCCTCCACTTGGCTCTTCGGTTTGAAAACCACACCTGCCAATCAAAGAGTCCCGTTGCACCCGTTTGTCTTGTTGTTAACAGCTACATTGGTCTATATATTTGGATTCTGTTACAGGTTAGGCCTAACAAATAAATGGGACTGTAGAGGAGGACTGAGAGCTTTCTCACCTGTATCCTGGCCTCAGGTAAATCGATCTTGTTCGCTAATCTCTCCCTTGCAAAAACATCTGGGTAATGCGTCCTTTCAAACTCTGCGGAAGATATAAAGCATCATCAAACACACAAAGTGAGTCCTAAGCCTGGCATGCTCTTCACCTATTTTGGAACCATCATATAATTTAGTCTGAATTAGAATTAAGCAAAAATTGACTTTTATAGAGTCATTTTAGCAGAAATCAACCAACTACATATTGGGTAATTACTGCTTAATATCAGCATTACTAATTATCCTTCTTTGGAACATATAAATCCAGGATGCTGAGCTGTATCCTTACAACCATTTTTGAAATATTTATCTGTTGCACTTTGTATAAAATATTTATGATTATGGAACACGCAGAAAGTTCATATGAAAGGATTCAAGTTGAGAAGCTGTCTAAGCACTTTATTTCACAGAAGGCTGAGTAAAAGTAAACTGAAGAAAAATCCTTGCAGGTTATTGTTTTTCTTAATTAGTATTGGAAAATTGCATTGTTTGTCACTTATTTGCATATAAAGTGACTTACTACAAGGTGTCTAACAAATGGTGTGGCTTGAAACCAGACACTTCGTATTAGTGAGAGTTTCACTTTCAGAGCATCAAAGGAGTTCATTTCTAGGTGACAAACTGCTGACATTTTTGTTGTTGACAAGTCGAAACGCGAATGTGCCTCACCCTGTAAGCGGCAGTCTGATTCATCCTGATGAACTCTGAAGTTTCAGATCTAGTTGTCTTTATAGTCTGAACTGTTTCCGTTCAAATGTTTTAGTAAAATGTCAAGAGAGAAACCGAAACCCGAAAAGTCAGTAAATGATCTGAAATACTTAATGAATACTTATTTAGCAAAAATAATGATACATTTGCAAATTGAGTCTTGCAAATTGTTATAATTGGCTTGGTTATAATTGGCGTCCGTATCAACACATGATTGTTATTGTGCCTTGGCTGTGCAGTGAGGTCAGTGTACCTCATTAATGTCATTTGCACAGAGTGACCACAGTGATACATTTCCACTCGGCTGCACAGTGGACATTGCGTCCTTATTTAGCTCAAGGGCCCTTTGCAGCCATATCCAGTCAAGGGTGGCTTTCTGATCCCTCTCAGAGGGTATCGGGGCTACGAGGGCCAGATCTCGCTGCATAATACAAACGCGGCAAACACGCATTATCAAACCTCTGCTTTACATGTCCCTGGAGGCTATTCTGGACCAGATCGGGAATATTTGTGGAGTGAGGATTGTGGATAATTTGCATCTGGTAATGTTTATTCTCATCTGCAGGCTCTGATAAAGATGATGTCCTTCCAAAATATACACGGGATGATTTTTGATTTTTCTCATTTGCATCCCCCCCCTCCCCACAGCCATTTAAGAAACTCCTGCAAACAAGGTGTAACAAATATAATCCAATAGAAAAGGTGTTGTCAGGGGGGGGGAAAGCAGCAAGACAAGCTGTGTCATGACACGCTCTGGTCTGGCTCGCACCAGTGGAGAGCAGCGATTGGCTGCAAGGAGAGTGCTGTGCGTGCTTGCATGGCCTGACCTTTCTCCAGAGCCTCGATCTGCTCCTGCGTAAAGCTGGTCCTGTTCCTCTGCAGCTTCCTCTTGAGCTGCAGCCTCAGCTGAGACTCCTCGCCCTCATCCCGCTCCACGGGGACTCCTCCTCCTACCCTGCCCGCTCCACCCCCCCCTGCCTCGGCTCCCATGCTGCCCTCCGTGTCCAGCAGACATCCCTCAGACACTGGCAGCAATGAAGGTGACAAAAGAGATGTGTGTTACATGGGTGTGTGTCTCATATTTTAAGATCGTAAAGGCTGGTGATGTAGCCACGAAACGACTTTGAAAGTGGTTTAAAATCAAAGACATATTCCTTGTGATCTGTGAGGGCTGTGTTATGATCTAGTGAGACAGAAAATGTCCTCTCACCTGTGCTATGTTGCGTCTGGATGGCGGTGGGATCATGGTACCAGTTGTTAGGCCCACTCCAGTTAGAGCTGCTCTGTAGGTTCAGCATGGTTAACTTCTCATACATAATACGAGTGTCCAAACCACCATGAAGAGAAATAAAAGAGTCCCGTCCTGCGTGCGTGTTTGACCCTGTTTACTGGCACCTTGGCTCCTCTCTCCCTTCTTCAATCCTCCAAATCGTACCTCCTAAGGTGGGGTGGGGAGGCAAGGTTTAGGGGTAGGGGAAAAGAGGAGAAGAAGAGGAAGAAGAAGAAGGAGGAGGGGTTCATATCGCATGAATTCACACATGGTTGGCATTGTAGTGAATTAGCCTCATGATGACAGGCAGAAATGGAGTTAGTTACATGCTCGCTGTCGTAACGAGTGTGTGTTATACATTGCTAGGCTAGTATACCAGAGGGAGATGAAGTACATTAGAAACCACTCTGAAAGGCAGTACATTTGTGGTGTTACTTGCTTTCAGCTCCTTTCCCCCCCCCCAGTAAACCAAAACATGTTCGCAAGTCTGTGCAGCCAAAAAACAGGCAATCACATACTGTACAGCGGCTTTGCGAGCAAGATCAGCCATAAAGCATCCAAAACAAACTCATGGTTAATGGTCACTGTGAAAGATAAAGTGCAAACGTATTTCATTTATCAGTGTTATCAGCTTAAATAAATATTTACCCAGCTCAGAGTTAAAACAAAAGAAACACAAAAAAAAACCCTGCTCTCTTTTCCTGTTGGTTTATGTTTGAGGTGGGAAGATTTCCTCATTGGAGAGTTATACAAGAAGGGTAAAGGTATGTCATTACGGAGCCACATCTTACAAACTACAGCCGTAATAAAATGTCAAAGGTCAAATGTGATTCCGTTAGATCAGGGTGCACAGGGATGACAATTTAAATATAAAGTCCAGAAATCTTTTAAATAAATATCAGTGGTGACGATGCTGACCCCATAGCCCGCGATAAACCGGCAATTAAAGAAGCAACCAAACGAAACACACAGCACAATTTCTTCAAACTTACCAAGCGTCCAGATGAAATGATGAGGGGGTCCTGTGTGTGTTACTCGCCTCCTCCGTGGACCTCTATTCCCCTGGTCCCCCAACGTCCCTTGTTCTCCAGCTTTGTTGACAATACCGTGTGTGTGTAGATGTGCGTGTGTGTGTGGAAAGAGGAGAGTAGGAGAGAGATGGAGAGAGTTAGACAGGGTGAGAGCAAGTGAAAGAGTGAAAGGGGGGGCTCTGGAGAGAAATGCGTCTGCGGGCACTCTTGTCCTCCGAGCGATGGGGAGAGAGAAAGAGAGAGAGAGAAAGCGAGCGAGAGAGAGAGAGAGAGAGAGCCACCGAGGGGTGACAAAGTGAGTCAACATCAGTGTCAAGTTTGAACTTAATGCCAGCAAGAGGAGGAGGGGAGGCCGAGAGACTAGAGCATAAAGCACAGATAATGGAACGATAGTGGCTGATGAATAGATGATGGAATTCAATTTTAGCCATAAATTACACATAAATATTAAGTACAACCAGCTGTCAAGTGTCTAGCAATCAGACACGTAACATAATTAAACTTGCTGTCCTAACTAGCGGGGCCTAATTTGTACTGATTCTTGTTTATAGATGTTTAAATGATGTGATTGACAAAACTTTGATAAAGCTTTGACATATCTATATGTACCTGCTGTCCTGCTGCTACTGCAGAGTCTTGTAGGCATGAGAAGATTCAGTGACTACAAGATAATTGGGAATCATGATGATTGTTGGGAAATAAGACTTTACATCATCGTGAAAATGATGTGAATTAATGTATGCAATGAAATTACTTAGGGACAGGTGTTAGGGCCATAGGCTTAATAATACATATTTTAATACAGAGTCATCAATTTGAACTGCTGAAAATATGTCAAGCATGTTACTTAATTAAAAAAAAAACATAAATATAACAAGTAAGCAAGCAAAATGTTTCTGTCTATTGTGTAATATTAAGGTTAACATTACATTTTATTTTCTTCCAGCTTGTCTAAGAAGCTGGATTGAGGAAGGATGAGCAATCATTTTACTACAAATCTCATTAGATACAAAAATATTCTTTATGACCAGATATAATTAAGGAAAAAAGTTCATTTGCAACCTATAAATACGCTATTTTAGCTATTATTATTAAGCTCATTATTATTTATTTATTCACTGATATTTAAACCTTTGGGATAAATGTACATTTGTTTTTCTGGAAATCTAAATTAAAACAACAGATAGTCTGTTTTAAATGATCTGTATATTCATTCGTCATTTTATCATTTTATAAAACTATGAAATTTCCCTTTTAAGACAAAAATGTCATAGTTTTATGATAATGTATTTTTAGAACATAAACATGTCACGCTATAAAGCAAGTTAAAATGCTGTTTAACAAAACCATTCACTAATTTATTCAGTTAATTATCTTTTACTTTGGCCTACAGCGGCGACTCGCCTGCATTATCATTTGTAGGATTTTCAAAGAAAGAAAATAATTAGGAAACATGTTTACATAACTTTCTTTAGTTTTCATTTTTAGTTATAATTTCAGAAGAAATAGATTTTACAATTCAGGATCCCTTCGTGTATCAGGTTTAAATATTCTCATTTCTCATCTTAAATGATGACTCAGGTATCAAATAATTTCTGGTTTGTTTTACCTGCCTGTGATCTAAATAACTAACTGAGTCCAGCTATACAGTCAAAAGCTTTCAAAAGCAGCTATTTGATATCAGACAACCAAAGTTTTTAAATCTTTACACTGGTGTTTCGGGCCTGTTTAGATGCTGCAGATGGCCAGGTGGTTTGAATTCCAGCTTTTGGGAGAACACCCAGGTATTGTTCCCTGACCACAGAGGTATTGTTTCTCTGCTATAACACGCAGAGCTTACAGCTATGGGACAATGAACAAAGGCAGCGTGTGGCCCCACAGTGGGTTAAAGGAGCACCATACTGAAACCCTTGGCGATAGACACACAAGGTCTGAGTTTAGGTGTAAGTAATGACGCAGGTATGACGGTACACGGTAGAGTCGAAGCCCGAGAACAGAGAAGAATCAGGGTTTAAATATATCTCTTTGCAACGGAAGAAAGGAGAAGAGAGCGATGAAAGATGGGAGCAGAGAGGCAGAGGAGAGAGATGGAGAGAGTGAAGAAGAAGTATGTGACTTTGGGGTGGGTGTAGGGGCTTGGGGATGGGGAGGGTGCCAGCTTGTTTTATTTCCGGTTGACAAGACTTTGCGCTCCCTTTCTCTCTGTCGCTCCCTCTCTCTTTCATACTCTGCTATTCTTTCGCCGCTGCCCCCATTGCTTCATCCAAGCCCCCCTCCCTGCACCTCCCTCTTTCTCTGTTACTTTCCTCCAAGACGTGCCTCGGAGAAAAGAAAAAGACTTGACAAGTTCAAAGGTAAAAAAACAAGGAAGAACAGTGGTGGAAGAAACGTTTAGACACTTTAATTAAGAAAAAAATATTGAATACTTCTTAAAAGAAACCCTCACCCTGACAGGAATAACAGCATGACGTACTTTAAGCACGAATATTAGTTTTTATAATACAGAATAGATAAATTTCACAACTACTCATACATAATGCATATTGTGTGATTACATTGTTTTAAAAAAAGCTTTTTACAGTTGATTCAAATGAGACTTTATCTATTTCATGCTATTTCATAAATCTATTTAATACTTCATTTTTTGTCTCCATTTATTTATTTATACATCTATTAGTACATATTAACCGGCATCTGTGTGTGGACAGCAGAGAAATAATTTCATTGTACAGAGAAATGCTTTTCTTTGCACACATGACAATAAGTACTTTGAATCTTTAGTTGGTTTAAGCTACTTTATGTGCTTTTAAGAAGTTAAATCAGTGCATGGTTAAGCTTTCGGGCAATCTTATACAGAACAAGTATGTTTATCACGTTTCATGTAAAATAATAATTTTCAGAGGAAGTCATTTTACTGTAATAGGAGAACAAGGGGAACCAAACTGTAGAGCTTGTGCAAAAAAAACAAAATCGAAAAAGAAGTTCCTAAAAATGTAGTAACAAAAAATACTAATAGTGAATACAGAAATCAGGGAATAAGTGAAAGAGTGTTGAGTAACAAAAACTGCTCAGCTGATTTAAAACTGGACCCAAAAATATAGCATTAACACATTACACACACACACACACATTTGCCCCACCCTCTTGTCTTTTTTTTAGCTTGTTAACCTTTTGTTTTTTTCCTGTATTCTGAAATCATTGTTGCATCTTATTGTGTTCCAGTTGTTGGAATGTGGCTTAACCTATGTGATCCCTATGTGCCGACTGGAGTAATGTGTGTGTGTGTGTGTGTGTGTGTGTGTGTGTGTGTGTGTGTGTGTGTGTGTGTGTGTGTGTGTGTGTGTGTGTGTGTGTGTGTGTTTGAGTCTCTGTGCGTGTGTGTGACGGCGCGTGCTTCACTGCAAAGATTCATGTAGCTCCGGGACATGCATTTTTTTAGTGCATCTTGTTAGTTCATTCCTGTCACCTCTCTCTCCCGCTCTCTCTCTCCCTCTCTCTCTCGCCATCCCTTGCTTTTTCAGCGCTGAAGGGGGGATGGGGAAGGGGAGGTGGACTGGGCCGGGAGGGGAGGGAAGGGGTGGGGGCAGTGGAGGTGGAGGCAGTCACCATGGTTACAATGCCACGACAAATATTCATCAAGTTGTTAAAATAAAAACAAACGGGAGTGCATTATAATTGCTCTTACTGACTGGATCCAATAATGTGTTCATATATTATGAGTGAGAGGAGCAGAGAGGAATCGCTCATGCTCAAAAAAAAAGGAAAGACAGAAAAAAGAGCCTGTTAGTGGTAAAAAGGGGATATCGGGTGTCCTAGAGGCAAACACAAGTGAGGCACACACTCACACGCACTCATTTCAACTCTTTTCTTTTTGTGTGTGTGTAACTTCATTTTCCCATTACCTGCGTATGGAATTCCCTATGAGTACTTTCGTGAGTCTCCCCTCTCTTTTCTCTTTGTCCCTCCATCTCTCGCTCTTCCTCTACTGTTGTGTAGCCTCGGGCAATACTGTGATGTGTCCTCCCTCTGTCCCTCCCTCCCTCTCCCTCTCTCTCTGTCCCTGTCACCTTCAATTGCTCTGTGAAACTAGACACACTGCCTGGGGCAGGGAGGGAGGGAGGGAGAGACACAGGCAGGGAAGAGAGGAAAAAGAGAAAGGCAAAAAAGAGAGAAAGACAGACAGCTTTATAGACAGACAGAAGGAATAAACATTTGGTGTCATGTAAAGAAAAATAGGATTACCACAGACCACATGTGTGGCCAACATGTAAAAACAAAATCAGCTGAGGTGATGTTTACAAGTTTGACAATAAGATGTAATCCTCTAATAATGTTATGGGGGAAACAACAGAAAGACTATTTGTCCAATTTAGTGCATGCTTGACCCTGGTTGTGTGTCCCTTGCACACCTGTTAAGCAGATATGGACTATGATCCTTTTGATCTATAAACACATAATATAAGCATGAGGGCAATATAGGTGCAGCTGAATCACACAGGGGCTTTTTAGAATGTGTGCAGTATTGTCAGTTTTATAAAATTAGTCAATAAAATATTTTATGGTTAACTTTGCTAACAGTCGCATGGAGTGTTTATAGGCATAACAATACTGGGTTCAAATGAAAGGCTTATTAATTACTACGCGCAATGTTAATGCAGAGGCAGATTAGACCACTGCCCAACACAACTTTTATACCACTGCTGCCCTAAATTAATAGTACTGGGGCCCGTTCTTCGTACGTGGCTTACTACATCCAAGATCAAATGACACATCCAAGACCAAATCATCGCGCTAACCGTGAGCTCTCTAATCCGGTTCTCCGAACACACCTGCTGTTGACGATTAGTACAGCTGGATGAAGTAATGTGAGATCACTGGGTGTCGTAAAAGGGGCTACGCATCGATAGTGGAAACATTGATCGGCAACCCGCTGATTGGTCGGCGAAAATGTCGAAGGAGCGCGCTCGGTATTTTTCGGCAGCAGAGCAAGAACTCCTGAGTGAGGGATTTCAGGAGTTTCAGAGTTTAATCAGAACGCAAGGGAACACTGCAAAGGCTGCAAAAGCAAGGAGCGAGGGCTGGCAGAAAGTTGCTGACAAATTAAACTCGTAAGTAATTTAATAATAACAATAATAATGGAGTGGATTTATATAGCGCTTTTCAAGGCACCCAAAGCGCATGACAATGCCACTA